GATCGAACTCGGGACCTTGCGCTGTGAGGCAGGCGCCGGAACCACTGAGCTAAATCCCCGGCCCAAAAGGAATGAATTTTAATATATGTAAATTATATTTGAATAAAGCTGGTTGAAAGCTTGCCAAAAAATGTGAATTGAGGATTTTATTTTTGAGATAGGGTCTCGCTATGTAACTCAGGCTGACCTTGAACTCTCAGCGATCCTCCTGCCTCAGCCTCCTGAGTTGGTGAGGTCAGAGGTGTGCCACACCACAGTTTCTCTGCTAGGCATAACTGCTGTCCCAGATGCCTAGGATCTCTCCTCCCTATCTGGTGCTCACGGCTTTGATGTGAGACTGAAATTCTCCCTGGTGGCCTCGGGGGTCTCCAGTGGGGTAACCCTGTCCAGCGGGCGTTAAGGTGCCCTCTTCTAGCTGGTTTCAGGCACCGTTTCCCAGCCCTCTCCTTGATCCTCGCCAGGCTGGGAGAGGCAAGTGGCTCTTGTCTTACAGCGCCACCTTCTGGGGAAACCTGGGAGAGCCATTTTTCTGTTGCTGCCCAAGAACACTGAGTTCTGTTTTCTTTTAGCTGCTTCCCCACAATAAAGTTCTGGATTCTGTTGTTGTTGTTGTTGTTGTTGTTGTTGTTGTTGTTGTTGTTGTTGTTGAGACAGGGTCTCTATGAAGTAAGCCCCGGCTGGCCTTGAACTCACTGTGGAGCCCAGGCTGGCTTAGAACTCATGATCCTCCTGCCTCAGCCTCTCAAGTGCTGGGATAACAAGTGTAAACCATCATGCCCGGCTCAAGTTGTGAAATCTGGACTTAGCCATCATTCCATCCAGAGGCTGTCTTCACACATCCATCCCAGATGGCCCAACACCCCACCCCCAGAAACTCACCAGGAAGCTGGTGCCTAGAAGCAAGGACCAGCCTTCTTACCTTTCAGAGTTTTCTTTTATCTTCAAGTTCATTTGTTTGTCTACCTGAGGGCTCACTGGCAGCCAGGAGAATAAGGTACATATCGTCAGTGTCATGAAAATCGTGTCTGAAGTCAGGTGTGGTGGTGCTCGCCTATGATTCCAGCGCTTGGGAGGCTGAGGAAGGAGAATCTTGGCGTGTTTGAGCCCAGATATCATGGGTCTGACAAAATGGAATCAGATCTCTCTCTCTGATTTCTTTGTCTTTCATTTAGGATGCGTGTGTGCACACAAGTGCGTGTGTCTATTTTCAGAGTAGGAGTAGTGAGAGTAATGTCATTAAATATATAAGATATAAAGTGGATTCTTTCGTGTGTGTGGTGCTAAGGGTCAGAACCAGGGCCTTGAGCTTGCTAAGCAAGTGCTACACCACTGAGCTACCCGCCCGCCCCGGCCCAAAAGGTGGATTTATTATTTTAAAACATGATTTTTAGGGCTGGGGGTGGTGGCACACACCTGTAATTCCAGCATTTAGGAAAGCTGAGGCAGGAGGATCACAAGGTTGAGCCCACCCTGAGCAATTGAATAACTTAGGAAGACCCTGTCCCAAAAGACAAAATAGAGGCTGTGGATGTAGCTCAGTGCTGGATCACTGGGTTCAATGTTTGCCACTCCCCCCTCCAAACAAAGAAAACGCTACAGAATTTTAAATATCCAAATCCTTGTCCCTGACAAAGTGGTCTCTTTGAAAGGACTTTTTTTGAGTCATTGCCTGAAATTATTTGAATTGACCCCAAAGCACCAACTTTTTTTTTTAAATGTTATTTATTTATTTAGGTACTGGGGATCGAACTCAGGACCTTGCACTTGTGAGGCAGGCGGCAACACCACTGAGCTAAATCTCCAAAGCACCAAATTTTCAGACTCGGAGAATAGATTGGATTTTTTTTTTTTTTGACACAGGGTCTCACTATGGAGCCCAGGCTGGCCTTGAACTGGCAGCAATCCTTCTGCCTCAGCCTCTGAGTCCTGGGATTACAGATGCACACCAGCCCAGGGTGTCAGGTTGTTTTGAGGACCCTGTCTTGCTCGGTGGTTGGGGTAGGAAACTCACATCACCGCCTGCTTCCATACCGACCCAACAGCTCTCTACACAGAGAAACATCATCTGCTGTGATGCCTGCTTGGCGCTAGCTTCCACGCCGCTGCTCCTTGGGCAGTTTCTCCTGCCCATCTGCTTTGTGCCACACACCCTGTTGGATGCCATCTCCTCCGAAGGTGCCTCGTTTTCCTTATCTGCGTACACAACTGGCTCTCCCATCACGTTGGGATTTTCTTGAGTCAGGAGCAGCATCTCCCAATTCATCTTAGAAAGGTTGATTTTGTTAAAATAATATATAATAATAATAATAATTTGAGACAGGGTGTTGCTATGGTAGTTCAGGCTATGGTAGTCTTGCCTTGAACTCACGAGTGATCCTCCTGCCTCGGGCTCTCAAGTGTTGGGGTCACAGGTGTGCGCCACCACGCCCCATTAGAATAGTAGTTACTTCTTGACACATCTCTTTTGGGGGGGGGTACCGGGGATCGAACTTGGGACCTTGCGCTTGCGCAGCAGGCGCCGGCACCACTGAGCTAAATCCCTGGCCCTTCTTGACACATCTCTCAAATCCTATCCCTCTTTTTTTTTTTTGGTACTGGGGATCAAACTCGGGTCCTTGCGCAGCAGGCAGCCAAACCACTGAGCTAAATCCGCGGCCCTTCTATCCCTCCTTTTGAACCCCCACCTCACCCTTCTGCGGAGTCTGATTGGTATTTTACTTTCCCCAGGGCCTGGCTGGAGGTCAAGGCTCAAATAATGGAGTGAATGGGCTTGGTGGTGCACGCCTGTGATCCCAGCCCTTGGGAGGCTGAGACAGGAGTATCGCCGAGAGTTTCAGGCCAGTCTGGGCTACATAGTGAGACCCTGTCTCAAACAAAAAAACAAACAAATATGGTTGAATGAATGAGACGAGGCTTGGAGGAAAGGGAAACCAGAAGGGCAGCGCCCAATATGCGTTGGGTAAATTATTCTCAAACTCCAAGATCCTGAGTTAAGGGTTAGCCACTGGGAATTCAGAGATAGGATTTTTCCCACTATCTATAGTTTCAAAGTGGGGATCCGGGCCCTGAAAATTGGAGCGCCAGGCAGGCTCCACCACACTCCTCGGCTGAGGCTCCGCCCACCTCCACCCATCCTCCAGGCCACGGAGAGACCCTGCCCGGACGTGGCGGGGTCCCCTGGGAGCCATCCGTCACCGTCTGGGAGAGAGCCAATCCGAGCACCCCTACTTTCCTGCCAGCCAATGGGCGGGAGGCTGAGGGCCGAGCCGGGGCTGGGCGGGGCCTTGTCTGGTCCGGTTGGTATAAAAGCATGCGGAGCCGCAGGCCCCTCCCTGGTGTCTGCTCCGGACGTGCCCTGGTGCTACTTAGTGGGAGAAAAGGGGTACCCGAAGCTCCCCAACCCGCGCACACTCGGGACCCCCTAGTGGCCCACGCGGGCAGAGGGAAGGACGAGGAAAGGCCCCGGGATGGGAGGAAGTGGGAAGGCGGGGGTTCGGGCGTCCCTGCACCCCGGACCGCGGGTGACACCCGGTCCTCAAGCTCGCGCCGGCTCCTGGCCGCCTGGGGGACCCGGGGACGCGGAGGGCGCGGCTGCAAAGGTGGGGTCCTGGGGGTGTGGGGTGGACAGTGGTCTCCCCAAATGGCCGGAGGCTCGAACGCCCCGAGGGCGGGGTCGCCAGCAGTGTCCCCAGCAGTGTCCCCAGCAGAGTCCCTCGGGACCTGGCGCTGCGGAGGCTGCAGCAGTCACCCGTACCCCGAGTTGAGCCCAGGTGTCCCCTCGGAGCGGGATGGGGGACCCCTCTGCGGATCGCCACCCGCGCGTCTCGCCCGTTCCCGGCTCCTCACGATGCTTCCTGCGTGGCCGGGACCCGGTTCCCAGGAAGCGACCGCCGGGCCTTCCCGTTCCTACGGTCCTGGGAGGGTGGTGGCTCGAGCCAGGCGCTGGGTGTGGTCGCGTGTCTGCTCCAGTATTTCTGGAGAATTTTTCCAATCCTGTCGCCACTCGGGCTCCTGAACTGCTCCGTTTAATTACACACTGCACTCTTTTCAGACTTGCTTTTTTACATAGCTTGGTGGAAAAGGTTATACACAGTGTTGACATTACCATATCGCTGTCATTTTCTCTAATTGCACAAGTTCACAAATTTAAAGCCGGGCGTGGTGGTGCACGCTTGTATTGAGAAGCTGAGGCAGGAGGATCGCCATGAGTTCAAGGCCGGCCCAGGGTACATGGTGAGCTCGAGGTCAGCCTGAATTACAAGGCGAGACCCTGCCTCAAAAAACCCATTGTAAATATCAGATCCTAAAGTCTTCCAGTGCAGGTCGTGGTAACAACAGGAAACACTTCTATTCACACCCAACGCTCACTGCTCTTACTGGTGCAGCTGACGGAAATTCCTGCGCCGGAGTTGGAGCAGAACTCTTCGGGCAGGTCACGCGTGCTGGTTGTCAGGGCAACGCCCTGCCGCAGGTGTTGGAGACCAGCTAGGAACACGGGGGTGGGGGGGTCTGCCCCGCCCTGGGGGCGGAGTTACTCAGGGCGGCCGACCGGTAGAGAGGCGTTTCCCACCTTCCCTCCAGGTGGCGCTCCAGGATCGCGGATGCTGCCCTGGGGCGGGGCTTCTTGTCGTGCAGGGCGCCTGCGAGGGGAGGGGCAGGGGCCGGGGAAAATGTGAGGTCCAGGGACACAACCTAAGATCAGCTCTGGGGTCCGGTACAGGGACGCAGGAAATGCGTGCCCCCGAGAGATGGAGAAGCCGTAGGTTCTGGGACGGGGATGGCCAGCCGCTCCCGCCACGGAGACTACCGTGTCACACACACACACGGGCGCCCCACCACACGGCCCGTGGTATCCGTGTCGCAGCCCTACTGTGACAGTCCTTGACTCGCCCTGTCCCCAAGCTCACAGCCACAGGAGGGACGCGCCTGCGTGGCACCGGATGTGGCGCTGAAGCCCCTGTCTGAACACACTACCCTCAGGGCGAGAAAGGAGGAGACCCTTGGCGGGAGACAAAGCTGGTTTATTAGGAGCCAGGACGCCAGGGAGGGCAGCTCAGCTGGTCCCCGGGGTTCCCCGGTGGGCCAGGGCGTTGGGAAGAGGGACAGCGCACGGAGGGGCTTCTCGTCTCTTGAGGTCTTCGGACTTCGGCTAGGGTTGCCTTCATTTTAGTAGCGACCACTTAATTTGTTCCTTGGCGGATTGCAGAACCTGGGGTGGTGTAGGAGGTGGAGAGAAAGTTGGGGAGACGGCAAACAGCTTTACTGGCTGTGAGATGCCCCGGGTCCCTCGGCGGGCCTGCAACCCTCGGCCACTAGGTGGCAGCAGCGCATCTCTGCCGGCTTGGAGGAGCCCAGGCCTGCAGCGGACAGGAAGGGTTGAGCGCGCCCAGCTCTCTGGTTCCTGTATTTGCAGCCCTGGCATTGCTCCGCGGATCCCTGCCCACGGTGCCACGCGCACGCAGGGGGCGGGTTCGGCCCGACCCTGCTTGTGTCCAGACACGCAGGACCTCAGGGGCCCTGGGCCAGGCTGGCACCGTGTCCGAAGCATCCCAGCCCAACCTGCCCAAGTGCCAACAGCCGGGGTGGGCAAGAGAATTAGATGAACTGTCCCCAGCACAGAAGAGGGTGCCCACAGTGTTGATGTCCCTTCCTTTCTTGGGGACAGGAGGCTCCTCCGCTTTCCTAGGGGAATCTTTCTCATTTTTATTCTCCATTCACTGCTAACAGTAGCTTCCTGTTTATTTATACATTTTTTTCCAGTACCGGGGATCGAACTCAGGACCTTGCAAGGTGCCACTGAGCTACATCCCTGGCCCAATTTGGGGTTTTTTTTTCGGGTTTTTTTTTTTGAGACAGGGTCACACTATGTAGTCTTGAACTCACTGTGTAGCCCAGGGTGGCCTCCTACTCTTAGCGACCCTCCTGCTTCAGCTTCCCAAGTGTGCCACCACACCCGCCAGCACTTCTGTTCTTACTTGTTCTGTTCAGTGGCCTCCCAACTGCTTTCCACCCTGAAAATGGCCTTGTAGCTGCTTTCACCCCCGGAGGGCATAAGGGTACGTGCGGAAGCAGAGGGCAGTGCAGAAAGTGGGTACCCACCAGCTGTCCTGGGCCACCCTCAGCAGAGCGACCAAAGGAGGAAGAGGAGTTAGTGCCGGGTGTGGGGCTCCAGAGAAGCAGGGTTAGTCTGAGCAGAGAGACCTGCGGGTGGACAGAGGGGAGGGCAGGTGGCCTGATGGAAGCCCATGCAGCCTGGGAGCGGATCTGGCCACAGTCTGGAGCCCGCCCCAGCACACATCGTTCGTGCACCCCAGCAGGACTATACAGAGTGCCAGCCAGGTCACTCAGCTGGGCCACTTGGGGCCGAGTGGGAAAGTTAGACCCTGTCATGGTTTGGGCTTGTTTTTGTTTTCTGGTACCGGGGATCAAACTCGGATCCTTCCGCTTGCAAGGCAGGCAGCGGAACCACTGAGCTAAATCCTCAGTCTTGGGCTTGTTTTTTGCAGTACAAGATACTGAACCTGGAGAATGCTGAGCACCATCCCTAGGCCTTTTTACTTTTATTTCATTTTGAAACAGGGTCTCCCTATGTTGCCCAGGCTGCCCGTGAATTTGCAGTCTTCCTGCCTCAGCCTCCTGAGTGCTGGAATTACAGGCCTGTGCCACCACGACCAGCCTAGGATGGCACTAACAAAGCTGTGTGCAGTGGGTAGTCCCAGCTGCCTCAGGAGGCTGGGGCAGGAAAATCACTGGAGCCCAGGAGTTCAAGGCTGCTGGGCAGCATAATGAGACCACCTTCAAAACAAAACAAAACAAAAGGCAGGTTGCTCATTCCGAGTCCAGTCCAACTAACCAGGAGCTGAGGTAGCCAGTGACACAAGCCCATTCACCCAGCAGCGCCCTGGTGCCCACCTGGAGAGCAGGTGGTGCCTGTATCTTCCCAGGTGATGGCCTGGCACCACCTCGCCCCTTCCCTGCCAGGACAGGCCGTACCTGGCCAAGACAGATGGACTCAGGGGCCTACCTGTGCCACACTCTGCTCCACCAGGCCGCTGTCATCCACCTGCAGGGAGGCAGAGTCAAAGGGGGGTCAGTGAGGGGAGGAGTGGGCGGGGGCTGGGGCTGCAGCAGTTCTGGAGGTCCGGAACCTCTGCTGTGTCCTGGGTCCGAAGAAGTCCTGCAGGCCAAGCTGTGGATGCCAGGAGCCCGGGACCTGTCTGTGGAGCACGGAGACCCAAGGGGCGAAGGAAATAAAGATGAGAGGAAAGGGCTCTTCCAGAGGCAAGAAGCCCCAACAAACAAGGGCTCTACTGCACCCCAAGCTGCAGGCTCAAGGCCAAGACAGCCTTGTGGAACCTTTCTGAGGATGGACTTATTTCTGGTCCATACTTCCTGCCAGGGAAGATGGGGAGGGGTTGGGATCCTGCAGGCGAGAGAGGACAAGAAGGTCTCTTTTCGGTTTTTTGAGACAGGGTCTCGCTATGTAGCCCAGGCTGGCTTTGAACTCCAAGCGATCCTCCTGCCTCAGCTCCCCAAGTGCTGGGATGACAGGTGTTTGCCAGCATGCCCAGCTAGAGCTTGGGTTTCTACCACCTGGGCCCTGCAGTGCCTGCCAAGAGGACGGGAGGTGGAGGACCGGAGGGCAGCTTGAGAAGGTGGGGGGAGGCCAGAAGACTCACCCTAAAATTCACCTTCTGGACCACTTGCTGGGGGTCACTCTCCAGGATCACACTGCAAGTTGGCGAAGAACCCGGAGGAAAATCAGCAGCTTGGTCTCCCCGGACTCACCGGCCGCCCTCACTGCAGCCCTCTCTTCAGTGTGACTGAGCCATCTCCCATCCAGGACCCCGTCCCAAGTCACCCCCAACAGGGCCCCAGCTCTGCTTCTCCAGCACTTCACCCAGTGGTCCACGAGCTTGCTCATCACCAGGGAAAAACCGGGAAACGGATCCCCACTCACCCGCCATCCACAATCTCATCCAGCACCAGGAAGGCTCCATCCAGGTTCTCCAGCAGCCAGCGCTTCTCCACGTTCCTCCTGCCACAGACGCAGCGCCTGAGCCCCCGTGGCCAGAACAGGAACCGGAACTGGAACCGTGCTGGCTGGGCAAGGCGACCCTGACTCTCTCCCCGACACACGCAGCAGGGCGGAGCCTGCTCTTCCCGGACCCCACTGTGCCCAGCCTCCCTCACTGTGGCAACACCACCTACCTGGGACCCCAAAGGCATCTCATAGTTGGTTCGGATGCCACAGCCCTGCTGTGGGCAATCCTAGGGCTGGTGCACATCTAGTTCTGGATTATCCCAGGTTGCTTTGCCCAGGCTGTAGTCGCCGGGCCAGAGATGAGATAACAGAATGAGGATGCTGGGAAGAGCTTCTAGTCAATAACCCTGAGTTTGCTGGGTGTGGTGGCACACGTCTGTGATCCCAGCACGAGGGAGGCTGAGGCAGAGGGATCACCAGGAATTCAAGACCAGCCTGGGCTACATTGTGAGTAAGAGGCCAGCTTGAACTAGATAGCAAAATTCTGTCTCAAAAACAAACAAACCAAAAAAACCTCACAAAAAACAACAGCAGCAACAAAAATACACACCTGTATCTGAGGCAGGAGGACTGCAAGTTCGAGCCCAGCCTGGGCAATTTAACAACTTAGCAAGACCTTGTCTCAAAGTGAAACATAAAAAGGGTTGGGGATGTAGAGCAATGTGAAGACCCTGGGTTTGATCCTCAGTACCACAAAAAAGAAAAACAACCTGGGCCGGGGATATAGCTCAGTAGCCCCGTATCTGCCAGGCAAGCGTAAGGTCCTGAGTTCGATCCTCGGTACGGAAAAAAAAAAAAACCCCACCTGTGTTGGGATCTCTGCTATAGTAATAGATTGACCTCGGGCAACTCAGGGGGCATCCAGAGCCTGGCCTGCTGACCATACCTGCAGGCAGCTCTGCTCTGCTCTGCCTCATGGAGTCTGTAAAGGGCAGGGCCTGGGGGCTTCTGTCCGGGCTGGTGGGGCCCTCAGGACTGCAGGGAGAGGGGCGTTGGGCTGGGCCCTGAAGGGCAGAGCACATCACTCACCTTAGGATGTGGCTCAAGGACTCAAACAGGCAGATGAGGACAGACATGAGAATCAGCTGGAAAGGAAGACAGGCAGCTGAGGCTCCGAGGCCTGGGAGCCCTCGGCCACCTCGTGGGCTGCAGTCCCAGCCTCCCAATTCACAAAAGATGCACTGGAGGCGACTGCATTTTGACCTGAAAGGGAATTTCAGGGGGTCTGGACTGGCGGGATCCTGAGTGTCTCCTTTTCTAGTTACATTAAGGAAAAATCAAACCCAGGAATGGTGGCGCATGCCTGTTACTCTAACACTCAGGAGGCTGAGGCAGGAGGATCACTGTGAGTTCCAGGCCAGCCTGGCTACATAGTGAGATCCTTTCTCAAACAAAACAAAACAAAACAAGAATCTATGGCTCCCTGCAGAGGGTGTGGTGACTTCACTTCCAGTTCCCCAGGATCCAAAAGGGTGTCATGGACACACATTGTCCCAGAAAGCTCTCCCCACTCAGAGCAGGGGTACCATGACTGCCCAGAACCCACTGCATCCCACTCCCCATGCCAGCCCCTCTGTTCCCCGTCCTCGTGAGCTCACCTCGTTCTCCTGAGAGGAGCCGACCACATACAGGAAGAGGTCCATGCTGCTCTTGTAGACGATGGTCATGCCCCCTAAAAACGCGATCTCACCTAAAAGTGGGGGGACTCTTAGCTCTGGCCACCACTGCCTGGAGCCAGCCTGAACCCTCCTGCCTGTCCCTTGAAAGGCCAGTGCTGGGGATGCTCGGATGGGCTACTCAGTCACCCAACCCTCCGTTTCTGCAGGTGGCCTCATGTGGAGGACAGAACAGTGCTCTGGACCCGGGCCACCCACAGGTGACCTCCTCAGCCAGGAGGGGTCTGGCTGTGCTGGGCAGGGGGCGGCGACAGGCAGGGAAGGTTCCCGGATGAAGGTCGAAGGAGAGCACAGGCAGCCTCAGAGAGAAAGGAATAGCTGTGGGTGTGGAGGCTGCGCAGACAGATGTGTCCAGATGGTGATAAAGGAGGGCGTCTGTCTCAGAGTTCAGGAAGAGAAAGAGGCAGATACATACTATCGGTTCGGCTGGTCTTGTTGAAGACGTTTTTCTCAAAGATCACCTGCTCCTTAGAGGAGGGGAACGTGTCATCGTAATACTGTGAGGGGAGAAGATGAAGAAGCCATGGCCATCCTTCAGGCCAGAGCTCCTCCCAGGTGGGAAGAGTGGGTGAGGCTCATGAAGGACCCTGGTGCCCTGCTCTGCCCCATCTCTCCTTTACAAATTTTTGTTTTATTTTGTTTTCTGAGACAGGGTCTTGCTGTGTAGTTCAGGCTGGCCTTGAACTTAACTTTGTGGCCCAGGCTGGCTGTGAACTGATGGCGATCCTCCTGCCTCAGCCTCCGACTACCAGGATTACAAAAGTGTACCACCACGGCTGGCTCTTTCACAAACTTTTTGTTTGTTTATTTTGGTAGCAGGGATTGAATTTAGGACCTTGTGCTTGTGAGGCAGGCCGTGGCACCACTGAGCTAAGTCCCCAGCCCTCAAAATCTTTACTAGCAAGGCTGCTTTAGTGCTTTCTCCCCCGACCCCTCCTCCTCCTCCTCCTTTTTCTTCTCTTCCTTTTGCAGCACTGGGGATTGGGAGCACTGAGCTACATCCCCAACCCTTCTTATTCATTCTTTTTGAGACAAGGCCTTGCTGTGTAGTTCAGCCTGGCCTTGAACTCACTATGTAGCCCAGGCTGGCCTCAAAATCACAGCGATCCTCCTGCCTCAGCCTCCCAAGTGCTGGAATCACAGGCATGTGCCACACACCGAGCTTCATTTACACTGGTTCCACACCAGCCATCCCACAGGAGACACAGCAAAGCCATGAGCCCTCTCTAAACGGTAACTGTCATAAGGGCAGCTGTTGGCCTGATGATTAATCTGGGTGTGAAGAAGTTGGAGGTCTTCCCCACATTTCACAGTGGCAGGGACCACAGCTGGGGCTCTATACCCAGGACAGTCTGGCTTCCAACAGGCCTATGGTGAGGATTCAGTATCTATAGAGATGTCCCTGGCACAAAATCCATGAGGAGATCAGTGCTTTTCTGTTTGGGTTTGGAAAGCCTCTCTCCTGACTCAGCTTCTTAATCTAACTGCATGGGTCCTTCGGCGCAGAGCCCTGGGCAGCTTTGGCATCGCCAATCCGCCCTGGCCCTCTGCCAGGCCAAGGTGTGGCCAGCTCACCTTTCATGTTTCTGGAGGGGGATTTTGCCACTTAGCACTTGACCTGCAGGCAAATGAGCAGTCTTCCTGCTGGCCCCTGCCAGGGCAAACAAGTTCGTTTGAATGTTATAGAAACAAAAAAGTTTCAGGCCCAAACAAACGAAAAGCATCGACAGTTCACCTCATTAATTTAGATGCTTTAGCTCTGTCACAGTGATCTGCAGATGTAAGAAATTTAGTTTGGGATTATCCTGGTTTGGTTCACACAGGCCATGTTTGTTAGGATTGAAACCAGGTAATTGAATGGCACCATGAGAATCACTCTGAGCTTCAAGTCAAAATCTTGAAGCCTGGTGGTGCACACCTGTGATCCTGGTGCTCTGGGAGGCTGAGGCAGGAGGATCAAAAGTTCAAGACCAGGGCCAGGGATTTAGCTCAGTGGTTCCACCGCCTGCCTCCCAAGCCAAGGACCCAAGTTCAATCCCGGGTACCAAAAAATAAAAATAAAAAACGTTCAAGACCAGCCTGGGCAGCTCAATGAATCAGGGAGATCTTGTCTCAAAACATAAAAGATCAAAATCCCTGGGGATTTAGCCTAGGGCCTTCCCACTGAGCTATAGCCCAGCACTGGAAAAAACAAATCTTGAGTTATGATAATAACATTGGAACCTCAGGCGATGCACTTAGCAACTCTATGCTGTATCTTCTGCACCTGTAAAATTAGTGAGTTGGATTATATGCTTTGTAAAATCCCATCCGGTTCTAAATCCTGGCTCTCTATCCTCATGGTCACCAAGCTATAGAGCTTAAGAGTCTCTTGTTTAGCCAGGACTCCTGGGACCCAGGCCACCGCCGCTGCCCAGTGGGAGGATGGGGAGGTGACCCTTCACGTTGGGGAGCATGAGCAGAAACAGGAGGTGCTGCTGGACAAGGCGGGCAGCCAGAGATCTAAGCTGGGCTGCTGTGTGTCAGAGACCCCAGAGGAGTCGGCTGGGGGTCTGAGGTGACCTCTCTCTTGGGGCTGCGGCTCTGTCCTCTGTCCTCGGGGTGGCTCGGTGTGGGGGTTACCTTGGCCAGCAGTCGGCGTCCGTCATTATCGAGGATGAACACGGCCTTGATGGTGTACAGGGAGGGTTCCTGCAACTGACCGGGAGGAGAGCTTGGCTTCGCCCTAACTCCAGGGGACCCAGCCTGGTCCACATGGCCAACTCCACGGCCCACTCCACGCCCAGGTAGACGTCCCTGCAGGCCCGTGGGTGCGGAACGTCCTCCCGGCCCAAGTTCTGTCATGCACTGACTGCTCCAGAGTCCGAGTCTGAGTGTATCACAGAACCTGGGCCGGGGGGGACAGGCGCCGGCCTCCTCCGTGCAGCGGGTCCGGGGCCCCAGGAGCGCGACAGTCACCACGGGAGACAGGCGCTCCGCAGGCCGACTCGCCGCTCCCTTCCCGGCGGAACGGCCCCCACCCCGGCTCCGAGCTCCCCAGAACTTCAGCCACGCGGGACAAACTTTGCTCCCCTCCCGGCCTGGCCCCCTCCCCGACTGGGCAGCGGTGGCACAAAGTTCCTATCGCGGGCGCCAGCTGGGAGTCGGCCGCCTCCTCCCGGCTCACGGTCCCCGGGGCCCCGCCGCCCGAGACCCGCGCCGTCGCCGCGTACCCGCAGCCCCGAGGGCTCCCCGGCTTGGGCGGGAGGCGCCGGGATCCGGGCCTGGGTTCCCGCCGCCCCATCCCCCGGGTGCGGACGTGGCCAGGCTTCAGGTCGCTGCATTCCGCGGGCCGCCTGGCTGACAGCACCGCCCCGTCCCGTCCCGTCCCGTCCTCTCCGCCCCGCCCCTGCGCTCTCCGCCCCGCCCCCGCGCTCTCTGCCCCGCCCGCCCCCCGGGTTCTCTTGGCCCCGCCCCCGCTTCTCCGCCCCGCCCCCGGGCTCTCCGCCCCGTCCCTCGAGCTTGTGGCTCTCCTTTGCGAAGGCTGCGCACTCCCCGGTGGCCGCAGGATCGCCCTCTCCTCCTGCCTCCTCTCCAGCCTGTGGCTTTCCTTGGCATCCGTGTCCCAGATAGGGGAAGCCCACTTTGGTGGGCAGAAACAAACTTGTTCTCTCCTTGGTGGGGACTTTGTGTGACTTTTTCGAGATGGTTCACACTCAATAGTTTTTTAAGATTTTATTTTGTTTTTTTGAGACAGCATCTAAATTGTCCAGGCTGGGTTTAAACTTGGCATCCTCTTGCCTCAGCCTCCCAGAGTGCTTGGGATTACAGGTGTGAGCCTAAACTGGCCAGATAACACCTATTTTACATAACAATTACTAAAATGTATTTATCAATCGAACCATATTTTACTTGCTGTACAAATATTTATTGAGTGCTTACTATGTACCAGGTACTTTTTTTTTTGGTATCGGGGATCGAACTCGGATCCTTGCGCTTGTAAGGCAGGCGCTGGAACCACTGAGCTAAATCCCCGGCGCCCATGTACCAGGTACTTTTATGGCCAGTGGGATACAACTGTAGAGCAAACAAAACCTTTTTTCTGAAGATTTGTGTGCAGGGCCGGGAATTTAGTTCAGTGGTGTCGCTACCTGCCTCGAAAGCGCAAGGACCCAAGTTTGATTCCCGGTACCAAAAAAAAAAAAAAAGATTTGTGTGCACATGTGCATGCATTTCTGTGCAAAACAATGTACCAATAAATGGGTAAAAATGATATGTGAGTTGGTGATAAGAAAAATAAAGCATTTAGCTATAAATGTCTCTAGTTTATCTTTCTTTGTGGCTGAGTAGTACTCCTTTTCTTCTTTATACTGGCGATTGAACTCAGGACCTTGTGTTTTCGAGGCAGGCGGTGGAACCACTGAGCTAAATTCTTGGCTAATCCCAGTTTTTTGAGGAATCTCCACACTGATTTCCACAGTGGTTGTACCAGTCTGCACTCCTACCAACAATGGAGAAGGGTTCCTTTCTCCCACAGAAGATTTTTTTCTCTTTTTGGGCTGATTTCTTGATAACAGCCATTCTATTCTTTCTAAAGTGAGGTGGAATCTCAGCATTGTTTTCATTTGCATCTCTCGAATGACCAGTGATGTTGAACATTTTTTCATGTTTATTTGCTGTTTCTACTTCTTCATCTGAGAAATGCCTGTTCATTTCAGATGCCCATTTTTGGATTGGGTCTTTAAATTTGAGGCGTCTGATTTTTTAAAGTTCTTTTTATATTCTAGATAGTAGTCCTTTGAGGAATAGCTGGTAAATTTTTCCCATGCTGTGGGTTGTCTCTTCACTCTGTTGGTGGTTTCTCTTGCTGTCCAAAAGCTTTTTAATCAGATGAGATCCCAGTTGTTGATTCTTTGTGCTAGTTCCAGGTGACTGAGGTTTTGCTCGTAAAGTCTTTTCCTATGCCAATGTCTTCAAGAGCTCTACCTAAACTCTTCCAGCAGGCTTAGTGTTTGTTTTAATATTTAGATCTTTGATCCATTTCACTTTTAGTTTAGTGCAAAGTGAAAGATATGGGTCTAGTTTTAATCTTTGGCAGGTTGAGACCCAGTTTTTCCAGCATCATTTATTAAAGAGGCTGTCTTTCCTCCAGTGAGGGTGTTTGGCTCCTTTTTCAAAGATGAGGTGGCTGTGCTCGCTTTGGCAGCACATATACTAAAAGATGAGGTGGCTGAGTGTGATGCACCTTGAGGCCATACTCATAAGTGAAATAAACAGGACACACATGTGTAAATACCGAATTGTTTTTCTGGTGTGAGAAACTGAAAATGTAAATGTGGACCAAAATGTATAATAGATATTGTGAAATAGGAAGAAAATGTTCAAAGGGGAAGGGGAACTGTGGGGGCCAGGGGAAAGGAAAAAAGGGAAAGAAAAAAATGAAAAGGAAAAAAAACCCCAAAACTTATGTAAATAGGGAGAAGTAGAGGGGTTGAAGGGAGGGAAGGGGAATGGGAAAAAAAAGAACCAAGATATATCTTGTAAAGGTACAAAGTCCCAATGATGAATGTGATCATAATGTAGACCTACAATGTACCAATACACTTCAATAAAAAAAGAAAAAGAAAGCAGGGGGTGGGGGCTGGGAGTTAATGGTAGAGCGCTTTCCTGGCTGGCGCCAGGCCCAGGGCTCTATCCCCAGCATGGAATGGGAGCCAGGAATGCAGGGGATAGGACACAGCAATGGTAGAGCCAGGCATGGTAGTCCTTGGTTTGTAATTCCAGCACTCAGGAGGCTGAGGCAGGAGGATCACCAGGAGTTCCAGGCCAGCCTGGGCTACATAGTGAGACCCTGTTTCAAAACAAAAACAAAAAAACAAACTCTCTCATCAGGGACCTGAGATTGTGCTCCCTCCTTGGTCCCCCAGCCTGAACTGCACCTTTCAGGGGGGTCCCAGGTAAACGCGACAGTATCACCCCACCAGGACTTTCCAGGCTCATTTGTTGGGCAGCGCTGGAGAAGTTCGAAGGTGCAGTGGAATGGGCTCCACCAGGATAGAGGACAACATGGGTGGATATGAAAAGCAGATACCACCCAGTGCCCAGTGCCCAGTGCCCCGCCCCACTCCGGGGGGAGGGGTTGCACAGTGGGGCAGGGCTGGAGCCTGTGCTCCGCTTGGGGTGGGTCCTCCTGTAGACCTGGGGACTTCAAGGAGGCCACACCCTGTCCTGGGCCACCCTCCTGCTGTGCACGGTGTTTCTGCCCTGGGGTGTCAGTGTCTGTCCTTGTTGGGTCCCCACCTCTTCAGCCTTCCTGGTAGGGTATCAGGATCAGGAGATGTGTGTGACCAGGAGGTGCTCTGAGTTTTAAGGCTTGTGAATAGAACGGGCACAGTGGTGCAGGCCTGTAGTCCCAGCAGCTTGGGAGGCCGAGGTAGGAGGGTGGCAAGCCAAGGCCAGCCTGGGGAACTTAGTGACTTAACAAGACCCTGTCTCAAAATAAAATAAAAAGGGGCTGGAGATGTAGCTCAGCACTCCCTGGGTTCAATCCCTAGTATGGGGGAGGATAGATATATACTATATCGTTGTCTTCAATTAGCTCAGGGTGGTAAGTGATCTAACCGGTGTTTTAAAAATCCAGCCGAGATAAAACACCCACTCTCACAGTGGCACCTGCCCAACTGGGACATGCAGCACAGAGAGCTTAACAAAGAAAATTACCTAATGTTGTCTGGAGCAACAAAGCAGGACATTATAGGGCAGCTGAACTCAGCTCCAAAACATGTCACACAAAGGGATGAATGAACAATGAGGCCTGAACACTGTACAGGTTTGAGGGAGATAGCGTTTTAGAATTGAGAAAGAAGGCAGGAGTGTTCAAGGCCAGCCGGGACTACACAGCGAGAAGCAATCTTCTATTTTATTTATTTTTTATTTTTTGGTACCGGGGATAGAACTCAGGTCCTTGCGCTTGCACAGCAGGCAGCAAAACCACTGAGCTAAATCCCCCGCCCAAATATATTCGTTATTATTATTATTATTTTTTTGGTACCGGGGATAGAACTCCGGTCCTTGCGCTTAGCGAAATAGGCGGCAGAACCACTGAGCTAAATCCCGGCCCTAGCAATTTTCTAAAACAGGGTGGTAGTGGTGCTTGGGAAGAGGCTGCCTGCCAGGAGAGCCTCGCTTCTTTGATGGTTTAATGGTAACAAGCTTGCTAATGATGTTTACCATGGAAGAAAGGGGCCAGATGTACCGATTAGCTGGGAAATGAATTGATTTCCCTGCATGATGCGCTAGCATTTAATACCGACGGGATGTAATCCTAGAATCTCTCAGAAGGGCTGTGAAAAGGAAATCTCAGGCAGTGATGGAACCCATTCTCTTAGATCTGATGGGGTTGGAGAGTGAGAAATATGTAGCTGAGCAACATCGTGAAACATTTTTCTGTCTGGACTTCTTGGAAGGCAGTTGGCCCGGGCTTGAAGTCCCAGAAAGTTGCTACATTGTATTGGTCCCAGCCTCTCATTATAGAGCTCAGATTCAACGTGGGAAGGAAGGCAGTGTGAAGCAGAGGAGCCGTTCTTTGGATACATTTTGTACAGCGATCTACCACAGCCTTCGTGCCAATCAGCGGACACGTCTCCTCCTCTTGAATCCTGTTCTAAGGCACTATTTGCAGATTAGCACTGGAGGGTCGTGGTTGTGAGCTTTGTGAACTTTAAGACTTCAAATCTTGGCTGTGCCATTTGAGGACTGTGTGATATTTGGCAAATTATTCACACCCTATGTTTTAGTTTTCTTATCTGCACAAGAAGCTGGCAATAGTATTTCTATCATTGTGCTGCATCACTGAGTGACCATGAATTAAAACCTTAAAAACAGTGCCTGGCACAAAGTAAAAAAAATTTGATTTTTAAAGAAAGAAAATTGCCGGGGATGTAGCTCAGTGGCGCCACGCCTGCCTGGCAAGTACAAGGTCCTGAGTTCGATTACCAGTAACAAAAAAAAGGAGGAGGAGGAAAATTAATGGCCAACTGGAATGGCAGAGTGATTGGCTTTTCCCTTAGGGAAAAAAGCAATTTCCACTATTCCAGAAGAAATCTGAGGCCCAGCCAGTCTGGGCTCCCACAGCCCCTTCTCTGGGGGTTTCCTGGCAGGTGGCAACCTCCAGGGAGAATAGCACACCTGTGCCTGCTGCTAGAAGCAGTAGCTTTCCTCACTGCTGAGCCTGGCTCCACACATGTCCCCAGGATCCGGGATTTCAGCGTGTGCTTTATAGGGTGTTTTCTTGGTTTGTTTCTTTGTTTTTGAGAGGGTCTCTATATGCTATTCAGCCTGGCCTTGAACTCACTGTGTAGCCCAGGGTGGCCTCAAACTCCCGGAATCCTCCTGCCT